ATATATGAAAAGCAACCATCAAAATGCCACCTGAAACTGTTTTTTGTTAGTTTGTGGGGTGGCTTTTGTTTGTTTTCCTCTTCTCTGTGAAGGGCAGATTAAAAGGACTTCAGAGGAAAGGTTGTGTGGCATGTGAACACTATTTGTTTTGGTTGACATTAGTAACAGTAGCTGTAATACATGATAACAGCATGATTATAGTGAAATTGAGATGTATGGATGAGGGACAAATGATGCTGGTTTCACTGGAAAGGCTTTATAACTTTGTTTCAGATCTGTGTTCTATCGCTCATACAAAGAGCAGGAGTCTAAAAAAGGGTATGACCAAGAGGAAGTTTTTGAGAAGCCTACACGTGAAACTTGCCAAGGTAAGATGTAAGAGCATATGAAGGCTGAGTTTTTAAATTAATGTTTTGTGGGCAAGGTTGTTAGTATTATTGAACTGATTCATAGTGAACTGATTTATTTTGGGATACATAAAATAGTAGAAGTGTCTGTATTAATAGCAAAACATATCAGTTGAGATACTTGCATAAAATTATTTTTAGACATTTCAGCAGTAGTCTGAAGATGCAAGTGGATTTGCTGAATTTCTACAGAAAATCAAAGCCAACATGTTGAAAAATTTGGGAACCTACTTTTTTTTCTGCTTTCTGAAGGTATGAGACATGCAATCTATGACAAACTTGATGATGACGGTTTGATAGCACCTGGGGTACGTGTGTCTGGGGATGATGTCATCATTGGCAAAACAGTAACACTGCCAGAAAATGAAGACGAACTGGAAAGCACTAACAGACGTTTCACAAAGAGAGACTGCAGCACTTTCCTGCGAACTAGCGAGACTGGCATTGTAGATCAGGTCATGGTAACCCTCAACCAGGAAGGATACAAGTTCTGCAAGATTAGGGTGAGTGCTTCCATATGTGCTTTCTACTTTTAATTGTTTTTTTCCTGTGTTTAAGTTACTAACTGAATATTTTCCTATGGCTTACAGGTACGCTCTGTAAGAATCCCACAAATCGGAGATAAATTTGCCAGCAGACATGGTCAGAAAGGAACCTGTGGTATCCAGTACAGGCAAGAGGTAGTGATTCCCCCAACCCCTTAATATTTTATCTCTGATCTTCCTAGCATTAGAACTGCTTAAATGAGTTGTCTGTGGAATATCTACTAGGGTGTGATATATATACTTAAATTTAGATAAAATATATTTAGGAAGGGACACAGCTGCTTCTTCTGTGGTACTTCAGTGCCTTTGGAATGCTTTAAAAGATTTAATTTGAATCCACAAACCTGCTTTTCTTAAAGTTGCTATTCTGGAAAGTACTGACTGTCTGTTTTCCTTCTCTAGGATATGCCCTTCACCTGTGAAGGAATCACACCTGATATAATTATCAACCCTCATGCCATCCCTTCCCGCATGACCATTGGTCACTTGATTGAGTGTCTTCAGGGGAAGGTAAGAAAAGTCTTTTATGCTGCATGTCTGAGCAACATGAATTAAAATGTTTTTTATTTTATTATATTTTCCTTCTTTCCCTTTTTCTTTTTGGTAAAGATACTGCTCCCTGGTAGGTGTTAATCCACTAAAACATAAGGATTGTTCTCCAGCTACTTGATAGCAAAAACAGGTTTCTTGGGAAAGACTTATAGTCCTGTGAATTTTGTCCACTACGTCAGACTATGGTGTACTCTCTCATCTGTTGTTTTTATTCCAAACATTTCATCTGAGCTAGAAAAAGGAGTACCAACATTGTTGATACTGTGTATTTTTTTGAATTTCACTGTACACTGTATAGCTGATAAACAAAGCAAGATAGAGTACTACGATGGGCATGGAATCTCAAGTTCTAGCATTAAGAGTTAAAAATGTTTGAAGCAGCTTAATGTTGTCTGACCAGTCCTTCAGAAATCTTACAAGCTTTTGCAAATCTCTTCTCTGTAGGTGTCCGCAAACAAGGGAGAAATTGGCGATGCTACACCTTTTAATGATGCTGTCAATGTGCAGAAGATTTCCAATCTTCTATCAGATTATGGCTATCATCTGAGAGGAAATGAGGTATAACCAAAATGCCAGAATAATCAAAAGGTGCAATTATTTTAATATCCATTTGATGGATAGTAAGGCTTATGATTCAGTGACTACACTGACCGTTTCAGGTCCTCTACAATGGTTTCACGGGCCGAAAAATCACATCGCAGATCTTCATTGGTCCTACATATTATCAGAGGTTGAAGCACATGGTAGATGACAAAATCCATTCTCGTGCGAGAGGGCCAATCCAGATACTTAACAGACAGCCCATGGAAGGTAGATCTCGGTAAGCGTGTTTATTAGTTTCTATACAGTGTTTTCTTTTTCTTTGAAGCTTTTAGCACTAAAAATTAGCTGCCTCAACTTTGCAGCTAGAACTTAGCACACCCAATTATCCACCCATTTTCACATGTTTGGCTTAAGATATGATGTATTGGGTGCAGGTGTCAAGGTTTTGGTAGCAGGAGGTGCTGCTGGGGTGGCCTCTCTGAGAAAGGACCCTCATAGGGTTGTCCTGTGCTGGACTCGGCCACTTACAGCTGGCTCCAACAGACCCAATGCTGGCCAAAGCTGAGCCCATCAGTGACACTGGTGGTGCCTCTGTGGTAACATGTTTAAGAAAGGGTAAAAAATGCTGTGCAGCAGCTGAGGGCGGAGTGAGAAAATGTGAGAGAAACAGTCCTGCAGACAACCCAGGTCAGAAGAGGAGGATGGGGAGGAGATGCTCCAGGTGCTAGAGCAGTAATCCCCTGGCAGCCCATGGAGAGACCATGGTGAAGCAGGTTGTCTGCCTGCAGAATGTGGAGGACCATGGTGAAGCAGATACCCAGGCTGCAGCCTGTGGAAAGCCCATGCTGGAGCAGGCTTCTGGCAGATATGATTTTTGGGGGACCCCTGCTGCAGCAATATGCTCCTGAAGGATTGTACCCTGTGGGAAGGGCCCATGCTGCAGCAGTTTGTGAAGGACTATCCCATAGGGGGGACTCCACGCTGGAGCAAGGAAAAAGTGTAGTGAGGAAGGAGTGGCAGAGGGGAACTGTTATGCACTGACTGCAACCCCCATTCCCTCCATGACTGTGGGGAGGGGAGGAAGGAGTTGGGAATGAAGGAGTAAAGTTGAGCCTGGGATGAAGGTAGGGGAAAATATGTTGTTCATTTTGTTTTCTTTCTCACCATCCTACTCAATTTTTCATGGGCAACACATTAAACTGATTTTCCTCATGCTGAGTCTGTTTTGCCAGTGATGGTAATTTCTTACCAATCTTCCTCTTTTTACCTTGACCCATGAGCTTTTCCATCTTATTTTCTCCCTCTGCACTGTTGACATGGGGGAGTGAGAGAGCTGCTTGGTGGGCATCTGGCAGCAGCCAAGGTTAAACCCACCACAGATGAGTAGAGAACGATTTAACGTTTACCTCATTTTCCTGTACAGTTGTGCTGTGGCTGTTAGCTGTCTGACATCTGCTTTAGAAATGCCTGGTGGCAGTTGCAAGTTACTGTGTTTGCTTTCTCCCTAACAGTTTTATTCTGAGGTGTTAGAGGAGAATTAGTGCTGTGCTTTACTCTGGCCTTGTAATACCACTCTTGTGTTTCTGCTAAGCTACTTGTCCCACCAACAAGAACTGATGTATTTTGCCAACGGACCCAAAAGTTGAGGTTTTTTGTTTTTTCTTTTCCTTTTTTCAGTGACGGTGGCCTTCGTTTTGGAGAAATGGAACGGGATTGCCAGATTGCTCATGGAGCTGCCCAGTTCTTGAGAGAAAGATTGTTTGAAGCTTCAGACCCATACCAAGTCCATGTCTGTAACCTCTGTGGAATCATGGCGATTGCAAACACAAGGACTCACACCTATGAGTGCCGGGGCTGCCGGAATAAAACTCAGGTATGTGTGGTTTTCATCAGCCAGTGTTTCTCCTTGTGGGTAACAGGAAATGCCACTCGGGTGAACAGGAGGATAGGGAAGTAAATATTTAAAGAAGCACCAGAACAATTGCTATTCTAGTTTCATAACTGTTTTAAGTGTTTATAGTGCCCTAGTTAATTTGGATGTTTCCTTATTAATTTTACAGTCTTGGCTTGTCACTTGGCAGGAAATGCTGCTCAAGGATTTTGCAGTGCAGAGCTTTCATGTACTTTACAAGTAAACGCTTGAGAGCGTATTTTTAGAAGTAAAAATCGGAATCACAGGAATTTAGAGCCATAGCCCTTTTTACTGTCCCTGTGAAGTTTATGCTTCCAGAGCTGGGTCCCCATGGGAGGTCTTTTGTGTTGCACTTCTCTTTTAATAAAAAGCTCTACAGTGTGTGCTTGGTTACAGAACTATGTCAAAGGAGAGTGGCAGCAGAGATAAAAATAGTTGCCTTAAACAGGCATGTTCTTGTGCTAGGGACTGACTGCTGCAACTCTGACAATGCCATTGGGGTTGCTGAAGAGATGTGTGCTGGAAAACTTAACTGCATTGACTGGACACGAGGCACGCTTTGCTATGCACGTGTTCCCTTCTTAAATGGCTCTTGTTTAAGATCAGAACCCTCGGCTGCAGGTTTTATCATTAGTGTTGTGTCCTGGGTAGCTGCTGTGTAGCCTCTACAGGCAGTCTCAGCTTCCCTCTTGCTTTGTTACTGTCTGTGAGCAGTTCTTGTTAAATGCTTTCATGCATAACTTCAGATTCACTTTTGAGCCAAAACCAAGTTATTTGTGTAGAAGGTGGTGGAAGCTGATGCCTTAGGAGTGCTTATCACAAGCCTTTTGAAATCTCTTTCCAGATATCTTTGGTTCGGATGCCCTACGCCTGCAAACTCCTCTTCCAAGAGCTGATGTCTATGAGTATTGCACCTCGTATGATGAGTGTTTAACCTTTAAAAAAGGCTTTTTAAAAAAAAAATCATGGGATGGAAGCGCTCAGGTCTTGTTTCATTTTGTGTAGGTTGCATTTAAAATAGCTTTACTCATCTGATATGTGTGCTGTTCAGAAGTATGTTTATTACCTGTAAATAGAATTAAAATTCGTAATCAAACTTGTGAGTCTCTTTATTTGTGTATTTGAAAGTGTGCAAGCAAATTGGTAATCAAGGAGTAAGGGAGTTAAGAGATTAGTGAGCTAGAAAAAGCCGGAAGTTGCTGCTTTCCAAAATGCTAATTTAAAACTGTGCGTAAGTAAAAGTCTCCTCACATCACAGCTCTGCACCATCATCTGTGGAAAAACAAAAACATGTTACACTTTGTACTGTTCCAAGGGGTAACATCACAACGTGGGCAGTAGCACAGCTTGTGCATTTCCTGATGTCTGTGCTGAGACCTGACAACCCAGTCCTGACCCTCTTTCCTTCTTTCCTTCCCTACTGCAGAACTACAGCAGAAGGGGGATGGTAATAGATGGCATTCTTCTGTGCTGAGATCATCTGGATGTGGGACAACACACTCCCTAACTGTGTAGTGTGTAGCTATGGAGGAGCCTGTTACATCTGCCAGTTTGTTCCATTAATGTTATCAATTTACTTTAAGTAATTGGGCCGCCAGCTTATTGCTTCAGCATGCTTGCTTGAGAGCTTTCTACAGCTGAAAAGAAACAGCTGTAACATGTGGTGTGTGTAGAAGAAATAAACCATGAGGCAATACACAGGGTACTATAACCTCACAGAGTTACTGTGAGAGGGGGAGAGAAGATCTATTCTGGGGTGTGAGTGTGCTGCTGCTCACAGCACAACTCAGCAAAACTCAGTTTCATTCACATCCATAAATAAGATGTTTGAAAAGGGATTAGAGACTAGCTAAAAACCTTCAGCAAGGTTCCTGCATGTGATACTGGGATTTATTTTATGCTCTTATTTCAATGCCAGGTGCTGTTAATATTCTCCTAAAGGAAGTCTTTCAGCTATTCAGGGATATAAAAGATACAGAAAGTAAAACTATGAAGTTTGGATAAAACTACTGGGATTAAAGGTAAGGGTTGTGTCCAAAAGTGGGTTTGGGCAGCACAGTATTGTCTAGCTGGGTGCCTCTGCCTCTAGTGTGGTTACAGTTGCTGTTCCACCTCCCCAGATTGATTCTGAATTGTGTGTGGCTGTGGTACTAAGCCATCCATCCTCTTTGCAGCTGGCACGAGGGCGGTTGGTTTGCCACCAGCTTTGCCTACAGCCTGGCAAAGAGGACCTGGCTTTTTAAACTGGCTGAGGGCTGGAGGGTAAAGGCTTTGAGGTCTTGCCTAAAGGCCTGCAGTGGCGTATCTGTCCCCTCCCCAGTGTGACACTCCAGCATGCAGAGAGAATGGGCAAGGACTAGGATGTCTCCAGGATGGGGAATAATGAGGTGCAGGGACTTGGCAGGAATTTAAGTGCTTGAAGTTCCCTGTCTGTCTTGGGGCTGGTTGAGCCCATACTGCTGCTAGGAGAGATGGGCAGGTTTGGAGGCGTCCAGAGAACACTGAAAGGATGACACGAATTTAAGGCTGGAAAACTACTGGAAGTTGCTTTGTAGAAAACCAAAGAGGTGTTTTTAATTTGCTGTCTTTTAAATTTGCTGTCTCTAGTACTTTACAGCACTTGGGAGGGGGTTATTTAACAATCCTTTGAGAATTGCAGCAGCTGAGATTTGCTGGGAATGTTTTGCCAATCCCGGTAAAAGCTGTGTGTTAACTGATCTTTCTAGTATGCTTGCTTTTTGTTTTTGTTTTTTTTTTTTCCTCAGAAAGCATTAAACAGAGGTGGTCCTTCTGAATCAAATAACTGAGTAAACGATTAGGGGGAAATGCTGCTGAGTGTTCAGCCACGCTACTTACCTTTGGTCAGGGCTATTTCATGCAGAGTTTCCACAACATGGATTTTTGCAGAAGCTGTTGCCTCTCCTTTGGCGTTTGATGCATGACACTCATATTCTCCAGCATCCTCTTTGCTCAGAGGAGATATCTAGGGGAAGAAACACCCCCCCAGTCCCTCAGTAAGTATCTTGTGCGCAGGTAGAGGTGATTCTGTTTTAAGGTATCTTATGTAACTTGTTAATTGCTTGAGACATAATGAGATTAACAGAGTGTATGAAGTAGCAGTTAATCCTTAGGGACCACATGGACTGCATGATTTCTTCTGCCTGCTCTGAACAGTCTGGTTCAGACTGGGATGACTCTTCTCCAGTGAGGGAGAAAAGCACCCGCTCCTATAGATCAGCCTAACTTTCTTCACCTCTGCTAGGCCAGATTAAGTGTGTTACAATGTTCCCTCCTTGTCGTTTATCATTTATTTAGTTTAGAGATGTGTGAGGGCACTGCATGCTTGCTAAGGGGAGGGAAGGAGGAAGAAAAATCCTTCCTTACAACGTGCTGCATCCAGTCAGTTCAGCAAAATCATTGGCTCAAACCTTTCCTTCTTCTTTGCACCTCTGCTTTAGGAAGTGGTGCAGGAACCAACACCCTGAGATGTGCTCCCCTGCTGCCAGCTTCTCTGCAGCTAGGAGCCATCATGCTTGCAATTCCCTTACTGGGATGCACAGTAGCTCCCTCTCCTGTGTGGTGATCACTGATGAGCCTGTAGATGCTCCTGCAGCTCAGGAACTGTGTTGAGCGAGAGCTGATGGCTTCTGTGCTGGGCTGTTCTCAGGCAGGTGATGTGCTTCACTGAGGAATGGACAGTTCTGCTGGATCTGTGAGGGCTCCTCAGCTGTGGGTCGGTCTTAGGGGTGCCTTGCCTTGGTACTGGTTCCTTCCTAGACACAGAGAAGGTCTCCTTCCCGCTAATGGCAGCAGGAAAGTAATGACATAATGAGGTATTCTATTGAAGTCTCACCTTCTCTGATCATAGAATGCATGCTTCTACTGCGTGCTAGACAGAGGTGAAAAACTGCAATGGGTAAGGCAGCAGCCACCCTTCCCCTTCACGTCCAATTCGCACAGATTGTTCTCTTCTGCATGGTCTGTCTGTTGTCATGTGTCTTCTGTACTGCTCTTTGTTCATGAGTGTTTGTGAACTGCACTATACTGTTGGTGCAGCTCTGTGCACACACAAAATACTTACAAGCACCCAGCCAGTTACTTCGTGTTTCTCGGGGCCCCCTCGGGTCTGGATGGCCAAGTTTTCCCGATCACCTGGCAGAAGCTCCATCCTCTGGACACCATACTGTCCCCGAATTATCTAAACACAAGGGTAGAAAGGTGTGAGAAGGTTGGGGCTTATTTATGCTGGAACTGTTAAGACCATACCCGCAAACAGACAGGAGATCAAAATGCATTCATGTAAAAATAATGTTGTGCAGTAGCAGTGGTTTTTTTTCTAGTGCCAGCATTCTTTCTTCTCCTCTGTGGACTGCAGCCCAGAGCACAGCATGGGATAAGTGGTGCTCAGCCCTTCTTACCACCAGGTCAAGCAGTCTCTTGGCCACGGGGAAGAGGCACGAAAAGCCGAGCAGCACCGACAGTCAGTGTAAACACAGCATCTGCTTGTAAACAAGCAAAAGGTGCTGCCTGGGTCGACATGTTTGCTCTGGGACCCTTATGAACAGAGTTTGCTGTCCCAGAACAGCACAATCTCAGTGCTGCCTGGGTCGACATGCCTATATGGTACCCTCACCTGACAGCTTGCTCTGGGACCCTTATGAACAGAGTTTGCTGTCCCAGAACAGCACAATCTCTGTGCCAATCTAGTTTTTTTTCTCTGTAGTATTCTTAATCTAGTATTGTTTCAGCTTAATTTTAAGACCCCTCCCAAACCTGTGGCATCTGAAGAGGCTACGGGGGCCATGCGGTGGCTCTCAGCCTTACAGCTAGGATCCTCTCTGCCCGAAGCCAGATGTTACCAGCGCGCTGCCAAAATCAGCATGCTACCAGAGATAACTGTCCCGTGTGGTTCCTGTGCCTGAGGTGGGTGATCTGTGTCCAGCCACCCCAGAGTCACTGCCGCCAGCAGCGTGACAGCAGGTCAAGGGACACTCCCCGTGTGCTCTGAAAACCAGGCGCTACCAAGAGAAACGTCTCAGGATCAACAAGAGTTTAGAAAAAGATTAAGCAAAGCCAGATGTTTGGGGCTGGACAGAACTGCACAGATGGGAGAACTCATCAAAGATGTGTGTTTCTAAGGAGGGATCTGCTCTGGCCTTTAGGCTTACCAAGCAGTTTCAGCTGCCTCAGGTTTGCTGTGTCCCAGGAGCTCCTAGCAGGGCCTTACCTTGTTCCAGATGAGGACAGGAGTTGGGATGCCTATGACTTCACAGCTCAGGTAGATCTGCGCTCCCGTGACATTCCAGATGTCCTTAGGAGGGGTCACAATGGAGGGCCCTGCAAAAAGGGAGAAATGCTTTCAAGCACCAAGTGACTGCAAGCTTGTCCCCTTGCCAGCCTTTTAAGTGGTGCCAGTCACTTCTGATGGGTTCTGAGGATAAGGTGAAGGGGGAGCACTGCTTGGAGCAAAGCTTGCTGCACTGATCCTACATCACAGCCCTTCCCTCTCCAAAGCTACACACGTGTCCGACCTTAAACTTGCCCTGAAGGAAACTCAGGTGTTGAGCAGCTTGGGTGATCAGTCCATCTACTTGCAAAACTGAGGTTAGAGGTAGGACAGTGTTTGCATTCTGTTCTCTTAGGGACTGAGCAGGACCTTATGAACTGCTGCCTTTGCTTATCATGTGGCCACCAAGCGTATCGTTAACGCTCAGCCAGCATGGAGGAAAGGACCCACTAGTGGGTGGGTCCCACTCACTCTCCCATGCCACGGGAGAGCTTCCTTCTTCCCAGCACGATTTTATTCTGCAGCAAAGCCTGTGGTGGCTGGCTAGCAGAACTCAATGTCGCACTGCTCCTGTTTCACTCACGTGCAATGTCCAGCCAAAGGAGGCTGGCTGGAGGGTGGCAGAGCTCTCCTTGGACAGGGTGGCCCAGGAAGGGACCAGGTGAATGCAGAGCTCCATTTTCCCCAAAGAGCTCCAGTCCTTGGTTACACAGGGAGTTGTTTCCAAAGCCAGATGGGAACAGAGCTGTTTTGCAGATCTGGCTGGAGATGTTTACCCCTCGGGCTGGGAAATGTTGGAGACGTAACCCATATCCCAGGAAGGGAAGAATGACCTTTTCTGTTCAGTCCCTCTTTAGTGGGGCTGTTTTGCAAAATGCAGCAATTAATTCACCACAATAGGAAGTGCAGACCAAAGGAGCACATAGCGTTTATTTCCACTTATTGATATCTTGAAGAACATAGCAGATTTTCCTCGTCTGCTCTGAAGATGCAGGCAGCAACAGGAAACTGAAGCTCCCATTAGGCTCCGCCAGAAGACGGCATTTCCTCTGTGAACAAGTACTTTAGAGCCAGCCTGACTGAAGCCCCTTGGGTCTTCTGTCACAGACCATGGCTCATTCCCAGCCCCATAAAAGAGGGGCAGATTTGGGTCCTGGATGCTCCTTCTTGGGTCCTAAACACGCACTGACCTGAGCCCTGCACGTGCACTTTGCCCGGCAGCCCTCTTGCAGGCAGTGGGGAGCAAGTTTCAGGTGCATCCCACTGTGCCAACATCTTCCAGGAGAAAGCTGGTGTCTTTTTTCCACCTTGGGACCTGGGGGCGGATTCACATTGGTACCACCAGCCAGAGGGTGTCAGCAATCCTTCTGTCTTAGTGCAAGGGATGCCAAGGTGGCTCCCCCCTCCTGAGCAGCTGGTGGGATCCCAGAGAAGCATTTGCTCTTCTCTTCTGAGACCTCTCTTTCCAGGAATGACTGTACATGGCCTGATGGTGGGAAGCTGCTAAGAGACCAGGGGTGTCCAAATTCTCTGTTAAGAGGTATCCCACTCCTGTTTTTAACAGAAGGCAGCTGTGTAGAAGCAGGGAGTTTTTATGTGTAGCCCCAGGCGATGGTTAAAACCACACCTAATGATCAGTAGGGCTGGTTTCCTGGCAGACATCACAACCCAGGTGCTCCTCATCTGCACAGAACTGATCCTCTCTGCTGACAAAAGCATTTCAGCAGCATTTCATTACCTCACTCTGTTCTTGGTTGTGTGGCTGCCTGGATGGATTCTTGTGCGCTGGCCAGGAGAGGGGTGTGTTGGAGTCACGGCACCCTTTCCAGTATGGAAGAGTGCTGGAGCTATCCTTGTTCCAGGTGGCCCAGAGCAGGTCTGTACCTCCAGGTACTGCCCAGCTCTTCACACTCAGCAACACCCTGCTGGAGGTTGTTCCTCTGAGTGCCACTGTAGCATTGACCTGTGGGGGGTTGACTTGTGGGGCTGGCACCCCTGTCCCTGACCCCCGCTGTTCTTTTTGTGGTGTCCCTTGAGCAATAGAGCACTTCACAGCTCCAGTGAGACCCTGATACTCCCAGGCTTAGCTCACCCCACGTTCTGCAAGGACCTCCAGCCGATGTGTGCCCAGCATAGCCTGCTGCCACCGCCGCCTTCTGCTCCAGCCATGTGAAACCCTCCACGTGCATGATGTCCTCTGCCCAGGGCAGAGCTGTCCCCGAGAGGCAGGGCTACGTTTGCCCCTGTTGACACCATACTTTTTCTTACTGGATGCTAGGGTTCTCCATGAAGCAAGAGAAACAACACAGCTGTCCTGAAATGACCACGGCAGAAAAGGAGAGATCCCGATTCTTATGTTAAAAGCCAGGTGGATTTTAAGGCACTGTTACGCTCTTCCAGGGTCTGGCTCAATTCTTCCCCGGTTGGGAACTGGCAGCATTTAACACAGTATTAAATCCACTGCCCATAGTGTCTCAGTCGAACTTCCCCCTGTACCAAGGGCCCAGACACCCTCTGCCCGTGGAAGTCTGCTCACCCTGCCAGGAGCTGGTCACACCAGGAGTTTTCTGCAGAAACTGCTGGCAGGGGAGAAGCGAGAGGGAATTTCTACCCACCTCCTGGGCAAGGAGAGATGATTGTTTATCTTCCCTGGAAAGGGGAATTGCCTGCACAGCTTCGCAGCAAAGCTCCGGCTGGCTTGGCACAGCAGCTACAGCACAGCCAGAGCCTGGCCGTAATGAAGCAACCCAGAGCTCGGGCTGTACATCCTGATCCAAACGGGAGGAATGTGAGAGCTGGAAGGAACCGGGAGCATTCACAGGCCTCCACCTCCATCCGGCACAGCCCTGAGGCCGAGAGGGAATACGCGTCCCGAAAGATGCAAGTGTCATGGGAAGAGTCAGCACGGTCTCTCAGGGTATTTGACTTAAGTCCAGACAGCCAAAACTCTAGAGCTGGGCTTCTTACTCCACTAAAAATAAATGAGAAAGGCCAAGAAGTCAGCAGATTTGAAGTGGAATCACAGCAGTAGCTAGACTCCCACCACAGCCAGCTGACACCCGTGTGCGTGATGGTCCCACTCACACTCTCTCCCACGGTCCCCCGAAGCAGCCAGAGATGGACAGGGGACATGGTGACCCAGCAAAACAGGAGAGGCAGGGGATGCCTGAGCCTTGCAGAGACTTCAGAGGATGTGAGGATCTTCTCTCCTACACATCACCCCTCTTGCTTTGGGGGTCCTTGTGAAGGGAGCGAGGCCACCATGTGCTCAGCAGGACTGGAAACAAGCCCACGTTGTACAGAGCAGATGACTTGGTTCCTGTCAGCAAGGAGCCCCCTGGCTCTCATCCTGCAGCCTGCATCTGAGAGGCTTTGCTGCTCCACTTGCAGCACTGCTCACAACAGGGAAGATTTCTCCATCCACTTCCCTTGAGCTGGGGACTTGCAGGTTGCACCTGCTGATGAAAGTGGTCACCAAGACCAGAGCCCCCCAACTATCAATGGGGCTGAGTGGTCTCTGTTCCCCACCGGGGACTGAGCCAGGGGCACCATGAATGTACAGGATGCTCCCTCACGGTACTTGCCCTGACTGCGTAGGAGCTCCTTGGCCCAGAGGACATCACAGGCTGTTGATGGAGATCAGCTGCTCCCCGCAGGCACTTCAGGCATTTCCTCCCTGCTCTGCCCATTGTTCCTCAGACAAATGGCTCTCCCTGGTCGGGGAAGGGGCTTATTTACAGAGCCATCGAGCTCATTCACCCCAGAGAGGAGCCTGAAAGCACAGGGATTGTTTTTTCTGCAGATCACAGGGAGCTGACAGCCTGTGTTATGTCAAAAGCAGCGGCCGGAGAGGAGTTCCCATTGCTGTTCCTGCAGTCGCTTTGCTGCGGCGGCAGCGTGCAGCAGAACCCGTGACTTCCTCCATGAGGCCATCCAGCAGGCACCTGGCATCTCCCAGCCCACCCACCTGCCCCTCACTGCTACCAGGATGGTCTATCACAGCTCAGGTCCTCACTGATCTTCCTTTGGTGTCCACACACACACAAATAAATCACACCCCAGCAAGCAGAGCGATAACTCTTGCTAAAATGAAGGAGGCTACAGGTAGGTCAGTAAAGGCAGAGATAAGCCCGACATGAAGCACTGTGGGGTTTGCCCTGGTGCTGGGGTGTGTGTGGGAAGCCTGGACCATGAACACAGGAGGCTGTGTATCCCATACTGAAGCTCGTGTGGTTCCCAGCCAGCCCTCCTGAGCCCTGCATCACCGTTGCCCCAGCTGAAACACTGGCTGGGTGAATACTGAAGCTCGTGTGGTTCCCAGCCAGCCCTCCTGAGCCCTGCATCACCGTTGCCCCAGCTGAAACACTGGCTGGGAACGCTCCCCCTGAGACAGCAAATGCAGGCAAAAGCTAGACATTGTTCAGCCTCACAAGCGCTTGCAAGTCTGAAAATAGACCCACTCCGGTCTCCTAAATTCCTGGGAAAGTATTTTCCCTTCAAAATGACTTTATATGGAGAAGGGGAAGCCTTCCATAATAGCATCTACTCATTCTAGCTGGCATGGCCTCAGCTGCTCCCTCCCAGGTCAGTGCCCTGTGGAAGGCAGCACCAGACAGGAAGGGGAAGCATCTTCTGGCCTTTCCCATTCCCAAAGCTGCCGGCTGCTTTCTGGCAGATGTACAAACTTCCTTCTTTACCTCTTTTGGAAAACATTTCTCTGCCTCCTTTAACCTGGCCTTGAAGAGGAGTTACTGAAAGAGGCTCTGAGACATCCAGACCAAAGGATATGACGGATGCTAAGCCTGTTCTGATGCCTCCCCTCAGACTTCAGCAGCCCAGTGACCCTGGAAAGGCTCCAAATGCAAATGCAGCTTTGCCTCAGGTCCCAAAGACTCAAGACTGAGTCAGCAACAGTGTGAGGCAGGGCCCTGGGCCACCATCTATCTGCCACGGATCTCCTCCTGCTTCCCACTCACACTAGGCTCAGCAGATTGGTACAGCTGGAAATCCCACCCCTGCTGTTTTACCACAGTTTGGTAAACAAGGTCTACCAAAAACAAGGTCAAGACTACAAGGACTGAAAGAGACCT